CCAAACTCTGCACGGGTCCAGCCTCTGCAAGCCAGGGTCGACCCGGAGAGTGAGGGTTGGAGTCGGCGATGAAGACTTGGAGTCAGCCTTTTCAGGTGGACTGCCCAAATTTATTTTTCAGCTTAGGGTTTTTATATAGCAAATCTAAACAATCATGCTTAAACATTATATTTTTAAAAAGTAGTCATGGGACTTAACATTTCTAAGTTTTCTTGGCAACAGTGATTTCATGGTACATGATTTCCACTTAAACCAATAAAATTTAACCAGGTAGTCATAACAAAGTTCTACATATTCTTTACTATGTATGCCAGGGTATCTAAGGATAAGTGAAGCGTATTTCCAGAATACATGAGAACACAGTGCCCTTTAATTGTTTAAATTCAGTGGGCATGGAAAAACAGGATATACTTGTACCCCCGGTTATAGCTAATAGACTCTCACAACCCTTTACTAAGAAAGAACAATGTCAACATTTATCACAGATGACATATGGAAATGTTTTACGTGGATCAACTAGAATTTGGTCTCTGCATTTACCGACCTCATTCTTTGGCCAGAACAATCATAAGTTGCCTTACAGGCTTGAGTTCAGCAGGCAAATATTTCTCTAACGCTTTTCCGAGAAAGTCCTCCTCACTGATTAAGTCTTGTTTTTGTCTCTGCTTATGGCATAATATGTATTCTTACTGGCAATTAGACCCATACAAGGAAAATGAATTATAGGTCTCTTATAGACCCCATGTGTACCGGACTGTCTCCAATTTTGCTAATTGCTACAATATTCATTAGACAACATCTGATTGAGGGGGTGGACATGATATTTAGGTATATTCCTTTTCGGTGGAAGAGGGGGAGCTTGGGCGATTCTGGTTTCATATTAATCCTAGAACAGACTAACAGCAGAAGTGAAAGTAAAAGGCACAAACTAAGCAGAGAAGAATTCTTCAGGGGGTTCTTCTGACAGCCTTGCAGTCTTTTCCCACAGGTTTTTCCCTGGGCCTTGCCATCAGGGATCACCTGTGCAGTTTCAGTCTCTGGCAAAACTCCACACCTGAAAAACAAACAATCCAGTGAAGAAATGGGCAGAAGACATGAACAGACACTTCTCCAAAGAGGACATCTAGATGGCCAACAGACACATGAAATGATGCTCAGCCTCCCTCCTCATCAGGGAAATACAAATCAAAACCACACTGAGATACCACCTCATGCTGGTCAGAGTGGCTAAAAGGAGCAAATCAGAGGATTCTAGATGCTGGCAAAGATGTTGAGAAATGGGCACCCTCCTAACATTGTTGGTTGGAATGTAAACTGGTGCAGCCCCTCTGGAAAACAGTGTGGAAGTTCCTCAAAAAATTAACAATAGAACTCCCCTATGGCCCAGGAATAGCACTGCTAGGAATTTACCCAAGGGATACAGAAATGCTGATGCATAGGGCTACATGTCCCCCAATGTTCATAGCAACACTCTCAACATTAGCCAAAACATGGAAAGAGCCTAAGTGTCCATCTACTGATGAATGGATCAAGAAGATGGGGTATATTTATACAATGGAATAATACATGGCAGTGAGAAAGAATGAAATCTGGCTAACATGAAATCCATGTGTAGCAACGTGGATGGACCTTGAAGGTGTTATGCTGAGCGAAATAAGTCCGGCAGTGAAGGACAGATACCATTTGATTGCACGTATAGGAGGATTAGGAGGAATTAACGGGGGGGGGGGGGGAGAGGGAGGGAGGCAAACCTTGAGAGACTCTTGAGTGCCGAGAACAAACTGAGGGCTGATGCGGTGGGGGGGAGGGGAAGAGCGGTGATGGGAATGGAGGAGGGCACTTGTCGGGATGAGCACTGGGTGTTATATGGAAATCAACTTGATAATAAACTATTTAAAAAAAAAAAGTAAAGAAAACATAATGCAGTTCGGAAGCAAAATCACTGACATTGGTACCCAGGCTTTCCTCTGAAATATTACCGAGGTGTGTCGTGTTTGCCAGCTGCTGGTGGCTGCCCTTCTGGCTTCATTTTCCATCTTTTGAGGTCTCTGCTTAGAGGAGAGGCCTGGTGAATTTAATGCCTCGCAGGTGTCAGCCAAGAGCTGGACGGGCAGGGACGTGTCCTGGTGTCATCTGGAATATTGTGACTCTAGATCAGAAGTGGCCTGGATGCCGAAATGGGAAGGCACTCCAAGTCCATAATCATTTTTCTTTTCATCCATGGTTTGGTAGAAAAGGCTGTGGACAGCAACAAGAAGAACTGAATCCTAATCCCTGCTCTACCGCTCACTAGTTGTTTGACACTGGGAAATCAGCTAACCAATCCGGGCCTCATTTTTTGTGGCTATAAAATGAGGCAGCTGGATCAGATACTCTGAAGCCCCCCAGATTCCTCCAACAGTCCGTGGGGCGCGCTGGCACGGAGAACTTGTGCGTCCTGTGTGTGCGTCCATTCATCATCAGTGTTTGTGTTGCTGCCCTGCTCACCCTCCCCCATAATGCAGACATAGAGCCCGGGTACACACATGCTTTCTGACCGAGCGGTCCAGCGAAACTTGGACCTATCCTTAGGGAACTGAGTGGCTTTACGTTTGCGCTTTGTCATTTCCTCTTGGTTTGGGCACTGTGTTAATAAAATCACATTTAACAACTTACTATAGGTCTTCATGAACATAGAGAGAGTCATATATAAGAAGTGCCGAGAATCTAGACCTACGTATAAAGAAAGTGTACTAGAAATACAGGAAAGAGAACATGCTAAATAATGCACTAAATATAAAGAAGGGTGTTGTTTCCCTGAGGTCAGTGTGTTTGGTTGGATTGGATCCAGGAGTGAATTTTATTTTCTTTTTCCTGACTTTGAAAGAAAGTATTCCTGGAGGAGGTAAGTTAGGATCTGACACTGAGTGATGGCTAAGTTGTGCGGGTGGTACTACAGAAGTTTACTTAACACTGAATTCATGTCAGACACTGGGTAAGTGTTTTACATATTATTTCATTCTGGAAATAGCCCCACAGAAGGAGTGTTACTATCTTCATCTCTCCAATGAGAAAACTGAGGCCCAGAGAGTTTGGGTAACCTTCTCAGGGTTTCACAGCAAATAAGCAATGAAAAGCAGTGCTCTCTGACCTCAGGGCCAATGGTTTTTATATATAGCATGCTGTTTTTCATTCTTTTAGAATCACTGAAAATATACAGTCTTAATATTATAATATGTTTTTCCTAAATGTGTCTTTTTACATAGGATCCTATCTGTACTTTGAGGAAATTTATAGTTCATGAGGTTATCTAATGCCAAAAATATGTGAAATTAAGTGGATCATGACACTGTATCAATCAAGGTCTTAGTCATAAGTAACTGATAAGAAGTTATAGTTGTTAGAAACTGACTTAGGCTAATTTAAGCAGAAAGGGAATGCATTAGAAATGCATTGGGTTGGGTGCCTGGGTGACTCAGTTGGTTAAGCATCTGACTTTGGCTTAGCTCATGAATTTGAGCTCAGCATCGGCTCTGCGCTGACAGCTCAGAGTCTGGAGCCTATTTTGGATTCTGTCTCCATCTCTCTGTCCCTCCCCCACTCACTCTCTGTCTCTGTCTCTTTAATATAAAAAATAGAAATAAAAAAATTTAAAAAGAAATACATTGGGTTGCTCACCACCTCTCTGGAGCATCTGAGGACCAGGTTCAAGCTCAAGGGCTGGGAGCAGGCCTCCCATTCTGTTGAAGAGCTGACACCATGAGGGCTTGCTGCTGGTGCTCTGCCCAGGACACTGCAGCTTGTACCAACCCCTCCAACGTTACCGACTTTTAGAAGTCTGTAAGTATAGTTGTTCCCATCCAATGCTAATGATGGAATTTGCATGCTCCCTTGTTCTTGTCATTGGTTTTTGACTCAAACACTAGGCGTGAGTAATCATGATCAACATGGCCCTTTTTTTTCATGCCCATGTCCTAGAGCAAGAAATTTGGTAAGGGAATATTTGCCATTTTCTCTTTGATAGCAGGAAGAGAACTCTACTTCATAAGGAAGGGGGTTCAGATCGGGTGGCCAGGAGAATGACAAATGACTCCAGTAGGTGACAGTTGTATTAGCAATTCTGGGAGGTTGTTGGGGGCAAATTGATCATCAAACTATAAGACAGAATGCTAAAGATAAATACGTAAGTGGGGCGCTTGGGTGGCTTAGTCGGTTAAGCCTCCGACTTTCGCTTAGGTCATGATCTCGCGGTTCGTGGGTTCGAGCCCCGCGTCGGGCTCTGTGCTGACTGCCAGCTCGGAGCCTGGAGCCTGCTTCAGTCTGTGACTCCCTCTCTCCGACCCTCCCCTGCTCATGCTGTCTCTCTCTCTCTCTCCTAGAAATAAATAAAAAATATTAAAAAAAAAAAAAAGATAAATACGTAAGATTAAGGCAGGAATTATTTTACCTAAAGTATAAAAGCAAGCACACTTGGGCTTAAAGAAAGTAAAATGATCTTGACTGATGAATAGAAAAATAAAATGTTATCAATATGTCCATACAATAGAGTATCTGGCAATAGGAAGAAGTGAAGTACTGGTGCATATCCCAGTATAGATGAACCTTGAAAACATTATGGTAAGTCACCAAAGAAGCCAGTCACAAAAGACCACATAAGGTTTGATTCCATTTATGGGAAATCTCCAGACTAGGCAAATCCACAGAGACAAAAAAAAAGTAGATTAGTGTTTGCCTTGGGCTTGGGGGGTAGGGAGGAAATAGACTACTAACAGGTACAGGTTTCCTTTCAGGATGGTGAAATGTTCTCATATCGATTGTGGCAAGGGTTGCACAACTGTGTGAGGATATACTAAAAACCATTGAAATGTCTAGTATAAGCAAGTGAATGGTATGGTACGTGAATTATATCTCAGTAAAGCTGTCATTAAAGAAAGAACATGAAACAGGAATAATTTAGGAAATAAGGCTGTCAATTAAGGGTAGGAAAGTCACCGAAAATGTAAGTCGTGGCTTACCTTACATGGTCTCTATTTACTTTTTGAAATCTAGTTCAAGGGATAACACTGAGACTCATTCTAGCCCCATCATCTGGAAATCTCTGTGAGGGAGGAAGGAGAGATGTCTCACGGTTCCTGCTGATGGAGAAATAGTAGGCTTGTCACTGGTAATGAATAGTTGGCTGGTATTGCCATTTATGAAACTGAACAATTAAGGAGTTAGAATTTGATTTAAACTCGTTAACTATAGCTGAATGTCAGGTTTTAGACCTTAAGGAAATTATACTGTGATTGAAAGAAATATGACACCATTATGATATTTTAATTGACTTATCTGGCTGGCTCTTCACTCATGTTTTGTATTTAAAATTTAAAAAAAAATTGTTTTCCAGAAACTCTATCCACTTTTCTACACTAGAGTTGTTGAAATGTCAGACAGTTGAGAACATGTAGGCACAATGTAGCTTTGTGGGAGAGGTGACCTTCTAGATCCCAAAGGGTTTCAAGGACTCATTTCTGTAGAGCAATTAAAATTGCATAGTCCTAGAAAAGGGCTTTAGAAGAAAAGGAGGAAAGGTTCTTAAATACATACCCAGATGCTAGGATGAGAATACATGCAGTAATCGTGACCTTGGCATTCTCGCTGTAAATTTCTGCACAGTTGCTGTCAGTTACATTCTCTATTCTGTGTACTTGTTTGCACATGACTTTCTTTTTGTATGTGAAAAATAACCGAAGTATAGTTCAAGGATCTTCAGCTTTGTAACCTGAAAGAATGAGTTGGTTTGTACTCTGGGAACACTTTTTGGGGGGAAGAACAATGACCAAGATGAAGAGAATAGTTTCTCTACAAATTGGAAATTTTAGTAACTTTGTACACTAGCTTGCAAGTTAACAATAGAAAAGACCTTTACTGGAGGAGTAAAAATAAACACTTTGAATTAATGTTGCATTTTCCAGAGGGAACTGTATTTCAGCACATGAATGAAACAGATTAAACACAGTAGCAAGATATTTGGGCCCCTCTAGCTTTTTCTATTTTGATATTCTATGTTTCCTGAATCAGTAATTGCTACCTGGGTGATGTGAACAGTCCAAGGAACTACATTTGAAAAGCCCCCTATCATATCATGGGAACCTCTCCACTGTGTTACCTGAGCGGGGCTGAGAAAAGAGGGCTGTTATTACCATTGTTACCCTCTCAGTGGCCATAAAATGTCTACTGAATGAAGTGTGGCCTCCTTATTTTGTTATCTGACAACTGCTGCCTGGTTCCCACCTACCTTTGCAGTGTATCACACATAGAGCTAATGCTTTCATCCAGTTGGCCTCTTCCCTGATTATCATCTGTTCCTGCCTCTGTCTTATAACATTGTAGCATTTCTTCTCTTTGCTGAGGATTCTCTACCCTTATTTCCCATCATGTCTCTTGGTCTAAATCATACTCTTCCATCCAGGACCACTTCAAATACTATTTTCTAAATGACATGAAGTCCCTCTTGTAAGCCCTCTAGAGCTTCAGAACTATAGCATTTTCTACTTCTTTTGGTGCTGTCCTGTTTCTGCCTTGTTTCATAGCCTTTTTTGTGTTACAGATTGAATTCTGTCCCCTCGAAAGATATATTCAAGTCTTAACAACCCCAATACTTGTGAATACGACTTTATTTTTAAATAAGGTCTTTGCATATATAATCAAGTTAAGATGAGATCCTACTGGATTAGAGTGGACCCTAATCCACTGACTGGCATCCTTTAAAGAAGAGGGAAATTTGGATAGAGACAAAGCAGAGAGCGAGAGAGGAGGAAGATGTTCATGTGACCACAGAGGGGAGATTGGAGCGATGCAGCTGTGAGGTGAGGGATACTAGGAACTGCCCGCAGCACCAGCAGCTAGAGAGAGAGGTCAGGAAGAATCCCCTCCTGGGGCCTCCAGAGCTAGTACAGCCCTGCAGCACTTCAATATTGAACTCTTAGCCTTGAGAACTGTGAGAGAATAAGTGTCTGGTTTTTTTTTTTTTTTTTTTAATGTTTGTTTATTTTTGAGAGAGAGACTGAGAGGCAGAGTGTGAGCCGGGGAGGGGCAGAGAGAGAGGGAGATACAGAATCTAAAGCAGGCTCCAGGCTCCGAGCTGTCAGCACAGAGCTCCACGCAGGGCTCGAATCTGGAGATCATGACCTGAGCTGAAGTCGGATGCTTAACTGACTGAGCCACCCAGGCACCCCAAATGTCTGTCGTTGTAAGCCACTCAGAGTGTGGGAGTTTGTTAAGGCAAGCCTAGGAAACTGATACAGTGAGTGTATCTAACCTATATTGCTGCTGCCTCCGCCGCCCCTGCCCATTATGCTGTAACTTGGTTAAAAGTTTGGGATGTACTTTGCTCGTTATTATCTCTTCAGCATTGACAGATTCATTCAGCTATGCTTTTTCTTTAGAAACAAGTTCCTATTTTTTGGGGCACTTGGGTGACTCGGTTGGGTGTCCAACTGTGGCTCAGGTCACGATCCCATGGCTGTGAGTTTGAGCCTCATGTCGGGCTCTGTGCTGAGAGGTCAGAGCCTGGAGCCTGCTTCAGATTCTGTCTCCATCTTTCTCTCTGCACCTCCCCCCTCGTGCTCTGTCTTTCTCTCAAAAAAATAAATAAGCATTAAAACAAGTTTAAAACAAATTCCTGTTTCTGAGATATAATTTGTATATGGTAAAATTTATCCTTTTGAGTCATACAGTTTTTAGAAATGTGTAGTCTGTGGCCACCACCGCAATACCAAGATACAGTACTTTTCCATCAACCCAGAAACATTCCTTGGAACCAATTGCAGTCCCCTCTCCCTTCTCACAGCCCCTGGCCACCACTGATTGGTGGGTTTTGCCATTTTCAGAATGTCCTATCAGTGGAATCTTATAGCATGTAGCCTTTTGTGTCTGGCTTCTTTCACAGTGCATAATGCATTTGAGATTCATCTATGCTCTTGTATCAGTATGCTCCCTTTTATTGCTCATCAAGCTAATTTTTATTGAGTGTTGTTATGCGCTATCTGTTGTGCAAATGCTCTGCAGACACAGTAATGAATAAGGTGGGCACTCTCTCTACCCTCTTGGGGTTTGTGGATCAGACAAGTACACAAAGAAGAATATCGTTAGTGCCATAATGGTGAAAGTGCCGTGTATCATAGGAGCAGAGGACGAATATTTAACTCACATTTGAAGGATCATGGAAGCTTCCCAGGGGATCTGCCGCTGAACTTGAGACCTGAGGATGAGTGATTAGGCTGCCGTCAGATGATGGGAGGGGTGAATGCACACTGGTACCAGCTCAGGAGAGTTGATTGTTAAAAACTCAGGAGATTGGCAAGCTGGTTGTTGAACCATTGACAGCTTGACATTGATCATAGTGGGAGTATTTACAGCACTGATATTGTTAAATACCTCAAATTGGGAAGTTGTTTTTCTTCTTTAGAGACTTTCCCTTCACACCACATTGGATGCACGAGCATTATAGCCAGGGGAGATTGTTAACTGTGAAATCAAGAAGGAGCTTGATGTTTCTGCAGAACTGAAATAAAATCAGTAGAGTTTAAGGGTACAGTGTTGAGGGGAGAACTGGCGGCTGGAGAATTAGGTGGCAGCAGATTGTATTGGGGGATGTAAGCCGTATTAATAAGCCATGATGTCATTTTCTTATTTTAATATCTGTGTCAGTTCTGGCTTGGTTTCAATCGATTGATTATTCTCACTAGGGAGTATTATCCTTTTCTTTGCATGCCAGGCAGTTTTTGATTGTACATCAGAAACTGCGAGTTTTACCTTGTTGAATGTTTCATATTTTTGTATTCCTGTAAATCTCGGGTAGTTTTGTTCTGGGATGCAGGTTAGTTTTACTTGGACATGGTTTCCTCATTTTGTTCATTTGTTTAAGATGGTTTGCGTGGCACCAGAGCAATGTTCAGTGTAGAGTTAATTATTCCCACTGTTGGAGCCAAGACCCTTTGAACTCTCTACTGGCTGCCACATGAATTATTAAGTTTGCTAGTCTGACTGGTGGGAACAAGCATGGTTCATTGGCCCTGTACTCAAACAGGTTCCTATAAATTCTGGGTCATTCTTTTCTTGGCCTTGAACAGTTCCACACATGTTTGCAGTGATCATACTCTGGTCAACACTTGAGGGAGACCGTCTCGAGGTCCTCAGAGTTCTCTCTCTCTCAAGCACCCTGCTCCCTGCAATTCTCTCCTGAAGACTCTATTTACCTGATTCCCCTGGATTCTTAGTTCCATGTTCTAATTTCAGGGAGTCTGCCTGACTCTGCCTAGTTCCCCCTAGATTTTTCTGTGTTTCAGGTGGAGGTTAAGTTGGGTCCCTGGTGTTTCTGCAGAACTGAAATAAAATCAGTATTAAATAAATCAGTAAAATCATTGATTTTATTATAGCGAAAAAGTAGCTAAATCAATCAATAAAATCATTGGCTGGACCTAATATCAGTGGAGGGCAATTAAAGAGATGTTTACATGGGGGCTGGTGGGATCAGATTTGCTTTTTGAAAACATCAATTTGAATGTAATATAGAAACAGATCGAGGGCGCCTGGGTGTCTCAGTCAGTTAAGTGTCAGACTTCGGCTCAGGTCATGAGCCAGGTGTTGGGCTTCATGTTGACAGCTTGGAGCCTGGAGACTACTTGGGATTCTGTGTCTCTCTCTCTGCCCCTCCCCTGCTCATGCTCTGTCTCTCTTGCTCTCAAAAATAAACAAACATTAAAAAAATTAAAGAAAAGAAACATTATTTTGCTTACCTGTTGGAATTGCTGGGGGCCTGAAAAAACAAACAAACAGCTTTAGAGTGAGGTAAACCAGCTACAGTGGTACTACAATAATTCAGTTAAGAGACAGTGGTAACTGGTGGCTCAGTCAGTTAAACATCTGCTTTGGCTCAGGCCCGGATCTTCCGGTTGGTGAGCTCTAGCCCTGCGTTGAGGTCTGTGCTGACAGCTCAGAGCCTGGAGCCTACTTCGGATTCTGTGTCTCCCTCTTGCTCTACCTCCCCCCTCTCTTGTGTTCTGTTTCTCTTTCTCTCTCTCAAAACTAAATATTTAAACAAATTTAAAAAAAGAGATAGTGGTGACTGAAGCCAGAGGATGGTCAATATGGATTAACAACAATGTAGTTATGTGAGAAGTATCTGTGAGGTAGAAAATGTGAACCAAACAGGAACAGTAACAATGGAAAATAAGTAGGTTAAGGTTCAGAAACAACAAATCTATTAAAACTCGGGTCTGATTAATAATATAAAAGATATTGCACACTACAGAGGCAGAGTAAGTATGAATTCAGAGAGAAAGCCCACCAGAGGTTGAATCCCAAAACCTGAGTATGGATAAGAAAGAACAGTGACATCAAGCCCTTGAGGAAAGTTAAAGAAGAAAAGATGCTTTTAGGAAAGGAAACTCCTCAGATCTTCGTATGCTATAGAATCAGGGCACCCAAGATGTGCCCTCATTTAGTGTCCAGATACCACTTTTAATCACATAGGTTGCACATAACAATTAGCATCTAAAGAAGTATCAGGAAAATTTATGTGGGAAAAATGGATAATTTAATAATGTTAAATATCAATTAAACAAGAAACCTTATACTTCATGTACTTAATGAATATACTTAGTAAGAAACCTTATAATTGCCGTAAGTACAAAAGTTATTGATAGGGTTTTGGGGAAATAAGTGAATAAATTTAAATGTCCTTTGCCTTTTAGTAGACCTAGAAGTAGAAGATAAATTCCAAAAGAGCAGGGACTCTGTTTAAACTTCTGTATCTCCAGTTTCTAGTCTGGCATGATAGCAGGTGCTTAAATAATACGTGCATACAAGTGGATGAACACATTGTAAGTGTATTCAGATAGTATTCAGTAGATCAGGAGAGCAACATACAAAAGTAGTATCAAAGTATATTTTATCTTTGGGCCCAGTAATTACAGTTTCCAAAAATACCTGTCAAGAATTAAAAATTCCAAAAACCTTATGAACCTTGAAGAATCAGCCATTGGATAGAATATGGATTTGATAGACTTTTTTTTTTTTTTTTTTAGAGGAACAGACCCCATTACCCCAACTATGTGTGCTGTTTCACTTTCAGTTAGATTTTTGGTATTAGCTGCCAGGGGAAGGAAAGCAGTTCAATTGCTTGCTTGTAGTCTTTCCTGAGTGGAAACACTTAGCAGAGGAAGAGGACTAAGATCCTGAGAAAAGCCTGTCAGTGCCTTGATGTTCTGTAACCACCCTTCTCCAGAGCAGGCTCCTTCTGGAGATCTGACACGGCTCCGCAGCTCCTTCCCAGAAGGGGGGAAGAGCTATTTAAAATTCTTGGCTTCAGGATTGTTCCTTCTTCCCACTCTTTTCTGTTTGAGAAACCTTGAGAAGGAGCTTGGTTTCACTGATGGAACACTGTGATCATAGCCTCTTCCAACTGCTTCATTGGTGTATTGCACATTTGGTGTGAGCCTGAAGTTGCCGATCAGAGGTGCTGTTTAAGCAAAGGAAGGCGCTTGTGGAGTGTAGGCTTCAGCCTGCTGTTCCTAGACATCGCAGCCACTTCTGTTTTCCTAGTGGGAGTGACTACAATTTTTATGCAGGAAACATAAAGCACAAGGAGAACAAAAGGAAGTTTCTAGAGAATTTACATGAAGTCTTTATGCGTGGCAAAAAATAGTTTTTAAAGCAGAGAATTCTCAGGGAAATACTGCTTTCTCTTACAAGCAAGGCAACTTTGTATGACTCTCTTCCAGTAAATTAAATTTCCCATGGGGATCAGTTTCTAAAACTTGCTTACTCATAACAAAACTTGGCTTAAAGCCATGTTTTCTAGTAAATATTTTAGGATTCCTTCCCTTTTTATTTTGTATTATTTTTTCCCAAGTTTGTTGAAAAGTAATTGATGAATATATTATACATGTTTTAAGTGTACAGTGCAAGGATTTGAGACACTTTTGCATTGTGGAACGATGTGTTTGCTCTAAGAACACTTAAGATCTGCTTTCTACAACTTTCAAGTATACGACAAAAATTTATTTCTTCATAGTTCTGGAGGCTAAAAGTCAAAGGTCGAGATGCTGGTTTCTGATGAGACTTTTCTTTCTGACTCGCAGATAGCTGCCTGCCTTCTCACTGTGTCCCCAAACAGCCTTTCCTTTGTTACACTCCTGGTGCCTCTTCCTCTGCCCCCAAGGCAGGGTGACATCAAGGGTCACATGCTTTACTGACAGAGCCAGCCAGATGCCCCTCTCTTCCTCTTCTTACAAGCACACCAGTCTTATTAGGACCCTGCCCTTATGACTTCATTTAATCTTACCTCCTTAAAGATCCTCTCTCCAAATACAGTCTCATGGAAGTTAGGGTTTCAATATATGGATATTGCAGGGGAAGAGAGCAAGGGAGTGGGACACTGTTTCAGAACACAATTTTGTTTAACTTAAGCACAATACCATTATCACACCTAAAAATAGTAACAATAAACCGTATAAAATATTTAGCCAAATCTCAACTTTTCCCAAATGACTTATAATTTTTTAAATGTTAATTTATATTAGAGAGAGAGAGAGAGACTGTGCCAGCAGGGGAGGGGCAGAAAGAGAGAGCAGTGGATAGAATACAAAACAGGCTCCAGGCTCTGATCCGTCAGCACAGAGCCCGATGCAGGGCTGGAACTCCCAACCCGTGAGGTCATGACCGGAGCCAAAGTCGGATGCTCAACCGAGTGAGCCACCCATGTACCCCAATCTTAATAATTTTTTTTATTAAAGCTTCAAAGTTTTATCTTTTTTTTTTTATTACAAATAGTTTATTGTCAGGTTGTTTTCCATATAACACCCAGTGCTCATCCCCACAAGTGCCCTCCTCCATGCCCATCTCCCCCAGCCCCCCCCACACCCATCAGTCCTCAGTTTGTTCTCAGCATTCAAGAGTCTCTCATGATTTGCCTCTCTCGCTCTCCCCCACTATTTCCCCCCTTCTTCTCCCCCACGGTCCTCCATTAATTCCTCCTAATCCTCCTATACATACAAACATATGATATTTGTCCTTCTCTGCCTGACTTATTTCGCTCTGCATAACACCCTCAAGGTCCATCCATGTTGCTACACATGGCCAGATTTCATTGTTTCTCATTGCCATGTAGTATTCCATGGTATAGATAAACCACATCTTCTTGATCCATTCATCTGTTGATGGACACTTAGGCTCTTTCCATGTTTTAGCTATTGTGGAGAGTGCTGCTATGAACATTGGGGTCCATGTGCTCCTATGCCTCAGCATTTCTGTATCCCTTGGGTAAATTCCTAGCAGTGCTATTGCTGGGTCCTAGGGGAGTTCTATTGTTAGTTTCCTGAGGAACCTCCACACTGTTTTCCAGAGGGGCTGTACCAGTTTACTTTCCCACCAACAGTGTAGGAGGGTGCCCGTTTCTCCACATCCTCGCCAGCATGTAGAGTCCTCTGAGTTGCTCCTTTTAGCCACTCTGACCAGCATGAGGTGGTATCTCAGTGTGGTTTTGATGTGTATTTCCCTGATGAGGGATGCTGAGCATCGTTTCATGTGTCTGTTGGCCATCTGGATGTCCTCTTTGGAGAAGTGTCTGCCCATTTCTTCACTGGATTGTTTGTTTTTCAGGTGGAGAGTTTGGTGAGTTCCTTATAGATGTTGGATACTAGCCCTTTATCTGATATGTCATTTGCAACTATCTTTTCCCATTCCGTCAGCTGCCTGTTAGTTTTATGAATTGTTTCCTTTGCTGTGCAGAAGCTTTTAATCTTGATTAGGTCCCAAGAGTTCATTTTTGTCTTGATTCCCTTGCCTTTGGGGATGTGTCAAGTAAGAAGTTGCTGTGCTTGAGGTCAAGGAGGTTGTTTCCTGCTTTCTCCTCTAGGGTTTTGATAGTTTCCTGTCTTACATTCAGGTCCTTTATCCATTTGAGTTTATTTTTGTGCATGGTGTGAGAAAATGATCTAGTTTCAT